ATGAAAGTATAGGTGAATGAATGAATGGAGGAGCGGATAGATGAGCGAAAGGTTGGATAGATGGATGAATGGAAGGGGTGGTTGATGAATGAAGGAATGAAGGTCTACCGTTGCATTTAAATTCTTTTAACTCTATTTTCCCTTACTTGTCTTTTTCTACCATTTGTCCAGCGAACGCCACAACAGTCTTGAGAGACGACATCCCTTTTCCCGCCAAAACGCCTGCTTGATCTTGTAATGCTTTCTTTCTCTCCTGGACGTACTTYTCCACCTAAACAAAATAACGATTTAATATTCAAAGCACAAAAAATTTAATGCCTATACATGTAGAGACTGCTTTGCACCATCACGTGATGGCAACCATGACAGGAGMCAGGAACAATTGAATCTGGTCTAATCTGATTTACGTACATGAGAAAGAATTAAGTTTCCCAGGGGAAAAATACCCTATGTTGTGCCTCCTATCATGGCTGCCATCACATGATGAAGAAGACACAAATATAAATACAATTCAAACAAAGAATCTTATTCTCTAGGGGATGACACGARGWCTGAGATGGAAAAACATTACACCAMAACGAATAAGGTTGATACTAGTYCCTATTCTAAGTAACTGTTTACCTTGGCAACGAAGGCTTCCACAGCTCCCATAAAGGGCGCAGCCATTAGCATGACCAGGGTGAGTTTCCAGTTCTTTATCAAACTGATCACGAATCCAGACGCAACACTTGCCAGGTTTTGAATAAGGAACGCTATCTCTCCTCCTATACCACCACGAAGAGCTTCAATATCTTCCTTCTTTAGCTGTGGAATATCTCTGCAGAACAAACCAGATTAGTATAAGCACACCCATATTCTACAGTAACTAACTCTAGTCATTAAATCCTTCTAAAACATGTTTTTCCCCCTACATCCTAACCTAATCTAACAACGGACGGATCCAGGGAAGGTTGTTTAGGGGTATTTGTGACGTTTCCTTTCTCGTACCTTGACTTATTATCCCCCCACTTATCATTGCATCCCAACCTTTTTACTTAGAAGCCTTACCCCATTTATCCTTACCCACCATTCTCTACTTTCACATCTCCATAATGCCTTGCGTCTTTGGKGGGTAACCAATCAAAAAACTGTCCCACATTGAAAGGTTTCTTAATTGGATTTATACTATACCTGCTTTTATCTGTACAATACTGATTATCAGTTTATTCCAAGTTATTTTTGCGTGTACAGATCATCAAGAGTTTTGGTCTTACAGAAAATGTATTGACTTACGAAAAGATGTTTAATATTTACCTTAAACGCCTTCAAGCTTCCATCTTTTTCTGTTTTATACTATTTCATTTCATTTTTGGATACCAAACAAGCTATTGTCAACATTGTCTGATCAGTCTTCAGCAAAATAAGCGGGTTTTTACCCTCTGGTTACCCCCCAAAGACGCAAAGCATTATGGGGATGTGAAAGTAGAGAATGACTATAGCCCCAAGGTTTTGTTTCCAGTACCTTGGCCAATTACCCTATCACAACCCAACCCTTTCTAGGTGCCTTACCCGATTTGTCCTTGTGTACCCACCATGACCTATGACCTTATTTCTCGTAACTAGACATATCACCTATACCACTTATCGCATCAAACACTTTYTAGGTGCCTTGTCGCATTTGTCCTYGTGTTTTCAYCATGATCTATAACCCCATTTCTTGTATCTAGACATCTCAACTCTTTCTAGGTGCATTACCCCATTTGTCCTTATTGTGTACCTACCATGATCTATGACCTTATTTCTGGTACCTTGACCAATTATYCCATCACCTCCCACTTATCACATCCCAACACTTTCTAGGTGCCTTGTCCCATTATACACCACAGTGTCTCTTACCCTATATCTTCCATATTCGATGCACCCTCATGAATCTGTGTATCAAAAAACCCAGGATCTTTTCCAAGGAYATCATCGCTGGCCACATTATTAAGTTCTCGAGCTCCACGTTCAGAAGCCACATTCCAGCAAACCATCTGTCCGTACGCRCAAAACAGTGTGAACAACGCGGCATATAAGTAATAAATTGCATACTTTCTCATTCTTAGTTCCAGTTCTTCTTCATCTAAAACACAACTTTCGCTTCCATTTCGAAAAAGAATAGTCACGTTGCTCCTACCTATC